CTGCTCTGGATATCCACTAAAAATGCTGGAAATATCCAATCAGAACTGCTGGGAATATCCAATAAAAACGCTGGGAATATCCAATAAATCTGCTCCAACAAGCATGGGCAGTGGAGCTTTGTCCAGGAGAAGAAAAATCCCCAAAGCCACATGAAGAGGGAGCGGAATTTTTTCCCTGCTTCCAAAAATCCCAGAGGCAGCCGGATTCCCAGACAATTCCAGCTGGAATTGCCTCAGGATTTCACCACCCTCGGGAGCAGGATCAGCCCTAAACTCAACCCAGGCGGGGTTTAAAATCCGTCCTAAATTGTGGAGACCACCCACAGCTTAAAACCACGCTGGGGGTGGGAAAAGGGAATTCCCACATTCCCTGCATTCTGCTGTTCCAATGTATCCCTGTTTTCCCCTTTTATCCTGGATTCCAGTGGGAACAGGGAGATGGGAACTCAGGGAATTAACTCGGAGTTCCCAAATCCCCAGGAGGGGCTTCAGCACCCTGGAGAGCGGCCGGATCCAAGAGGATTTTCCTGCCCACGGACATTCCCGGCCTCGGCATTCCCAGGTTTTCCCGAGAATTTGTGGCTTCCCCATCCCCTGGAAGTGTCCAAGACCAGCTTGGGGCAACCTGGGATGGGGAAGTTGTCCCTGTCCGTGGAACGAGATGAATTTTTATTTTCCAACCCAAATTATTCCTTAATTCTGCTGCTCTTTGAACTTGGGGATCCTTGGGATAAGCAGGAAAAGGGAATAATTGAGAGAGAAAAGGGAATTTTGGTGCATTTTCCACAGATCCAAGGAGAACCTTCCAGCTCTCCCAGCTCCCACTGGAGCTGCCAGCCCGGCCTGTCCATGCCAGGAAATTTCAGGAGGAATTTGGGATTCAGGCTGACAGAGCCGCAGGATCAGATTCCGACCGTCCCTGGGAAAAGGAGCGAAATTCCGCTGCCAAGGAGGCGGAAAGCATCGGAAAAGCTGCCAGGAATTCCGATGAACCTCCGGCTTCACCTTGCCCCAACCCCGGGGGTTGTGCTCCTCTTTTCCCACTCCCTGTGAGGCTCCAGGTTTGCTTCCAGAGGTGGGAAAGGAACATCCCGGAATCCAGGACAGGGATTCATCAGCTCTTCCCAAGCCTGGATTGGGCAAAGCTCCCTCTTCCCTTCCTCCACCAAACTGGGAATGCACCAACCTCTTGCTTAAGCTCAAAGGCAGAGGAAGGCAAGGAAAAATATCCCAAATTCTCCTTTCAGGGGAAAAATCGCCACTATTCCCTCTCTCCTGTGCCCTTTGGATGCTCCCTCCCAGTTGCATCCCTGAGGAAAACTGGGCTGGGTCTCAAAATTCCAGGATGACATCCAAAGGAACATAAGGAAGCCTTGTCAGGAATTTCTGTCCACCTGAAGTCATCCCTGTTTTTTTCCGTGGATAATCCTTGTCCTCCGATCTCATTAAGTGGGAATGGTGATCCCGATAAGCCGAAGGATAAATCCTCCTCTTTTTTAATCCGTAATAACCCAGCCCGGTTTCTTTCAGCTCGGGATTAAAGGAAAAAAAGGGAAAGGGAGGGGGTCGGGGATTACGGAACATTTAAACTTCCAGCAAGTTCATTCCAAGCCGAAATCCCTGGAATTACACAATAATTATCCTGGAAAGGAACCGAGGGGCTTCAGGAAGACGGGGGGAGATGGAAAAGATGAAGCAGAACTCATCCAACAACACGGAACATGAGGAAAATGAGGTTGGAAAGGAATTCCCTCCGGGGCAGGAAGAAATCCAGACCTCCCTGACAAGATCTGGCAAAATTGTAAAGGAATCCAAAACCTGAATGGATCCTGGCAGGTTTTAGGAATATTTTGGGAAGGGCAAACGAAACCAGAGGAGTAAAAGGAAGTGCCAGAGCTTTTTTCCTTGTTTCCTTTAGGAGTCTCCTCACAGGTTTTGCTGCTTAAATTCAAATAAAATCTGATGTTTTTTATCTGAAAATCCAATTTTCTCACTGGGTTTGAATCCTCCCAATCCAGCTGCTTTTGTTCCACCTAAAAAGTGAGGAAAGCAGGCAATTCCAGAAAGCAAAGAAATGAAGGAATTCTGCCTGAACTTCCAGTTTTTTTTCCCTGGGAATGAATTTCTGCTGGGGTTTGCAAGGCTGGTGCTGCCCAGACGAGTAAATTACAACCCCACAGAAAATCCACCCCCAGGTGGAAAACAAATCCAGAAATTCCTGCCCAGCGCTCCCAGATAAAATCAGAGCCTCGGGAACGTCCTGGGAATGGGGGTGTTCCATTTTCCCAGATCCCTCAAACAAATCCCAAACTTTTCCCTTGGGGACTCCTCCTTCCCTGAGCAGGATGGAGCCGAAAAATTCCAAAGCTCCAGATGGAACCAACAATTTTTCCAAAGCTTTGTGTTCCCTTTCCAAGCTCCACCTGCCCAGGTGAGCTCCACTGGTCTTTATCCAGGGAATATTTCCTTGGAAGACCCCAGAACTTCCCCATTCCTGCAATATTCTGAATTCCTGTATAAAACTCATCTTTTTCCAGGGAATATTTCCTTGCAACATCCCAGAACTTCTCAATTCCTGCAAATTCCTGCATTTCTGGATAAAACTCAACTTTATCCAGGGAATATTTCCTTGGAGCATCCCAGAACTGCCACATTCCTGATAATTTCTTTATTTCTGGATTACACTGGCCTTTCTCCAGGGAATATTTCCTTGGAGAATCCCAGAACTTCCCCATTTTTCTCGGTGGAGCAGAGCAGGTGACAGGAACAGAGGAAGGATCCAATCCAGGGCATGATCCATATGGATAATTCCCTTTCCCAAGGCCACCCCAGCTGGGATGGAGCATTGGGAATAAGAACAGCTCCAGTGGGAAGTGAAACTTCCTTAAATCCATTTATTCCCCCTTTTCCCAACAAAGGAAGCACCAAAAAAAAAAAAAAAATTCCTTTTTCCTGCTGCCTGTGTCCATCCCCTTCCTCACATTCTTGGGAATCTCCAAGGGTTTCCTGAGATGGAATTCCCAACTTCCCATTCCCAGGCAGATCCAGACTCACTTTGTGGTTCCCACTTAATCCCAGCCCCTTCCCTGCTCATCCCTGAGATTTGAGGGTACAAGCCCTCTACATCCAGGAGTATCCCACGAGTATCCTACTCAGACTATCCCAACCACCTGCCAGGAGCAAAAACATGGAAAAAAAAAATCCTCATTTTCTCCTTTATTATTCAACATTTCCCCCCAGTTTTGGGATCCTTTGTGGTGGAGTTTTTCCAGCGGATTTTGGGGGATTTTATTTCCCCCAAAAACCTGGAGAGAATGAGAGGAAAAGAAATCCTGATGAATTAATTTGGAAAACTGGGGATATTCCCCATTTCATCATCAGCTGGGAGAAGGGATGATTGGATTGGGCTGGGTTTAAACCAAATCCCTTGGGATGGGGATGAGGATGAGGATGAGGACGGAGCTTTGTTAAGCCCAGAATTAACACAAAACCGGGCCCAGGTGCCAGCTCCTTTAAACAAAGTCACTTTTCCAACCAAACAACTTCTCCCTGCCAGCCCAGCTCGTTCCATTCATTATTTATGTTGGATTCACATTACAACTACACACACACAAAAAAAAAAAAAAAAAAAAAAAAAAAGAAAAAGAAAAGGAAAAGCAGCAAAGGCCCAGTCGGGAACAGGGAAACAGCAAAATTAAAAATAGGAATCGAGCATAAAATGACAAATTTGAGTTTTCTTTCAGGACAGAAAGCAAAGTTTTCTTGGAACAAAGCAGCCCCTCGGTGTCTGCCAAAGAGGGGGAGGTTTTCCAGGAAAGAAAGGAGTCAGCATTCCTGGAAAAGTCATAGGATTCCTGCTTTTGTCCTCGGCAGCTGCCAGGAGCACCCCGGAAACACCACAGCGCCACAGGATCCATCTTAAAGCAGCCGGGCCTCTGCTGGGCACGTCAGAATTCCAGCTTTTCCCGCAAATCCCGCATCCCCCCGGCCCCTCCGCCGGGAGCCAGCCGGGAGCAGCCCGGGGTGACTTTGGGCAGTGCTCCTCAGCCATCCCGAGGAGCTGACCTTGAGGAAGGAACCCACCGGCAGCATTCCAGAGGGAAAAGCAAAAAACCCACCCGAGCAAGACCATGCCCGGTTTTAGCAGGGATGGGATTTTCTGGACAAAAATCTCCTTTTCCCCACCCAAACCTCCTCTGGGTTCCCAGAGGCCTCCCTGGGATGGGATTTTTCCTGCTCCCTGTCCTCCAAGGAGCACCTGAGGCCATGGAAAAGGGAGGATCCCTGCTCCATCCCTGCTCCATCCCTGCTCCATCCCTGCTCCATCCCTACAATCCCTCTCCCCCAGGCCCCAGCGCTCCCTCACGGCCTCCTCGCCCTCCTCATCCCCATTCCCGAGCTCCTCGCGGCCACGGAGCATCGGGAGCGGCCGTGATCCCAATGATTCAGCACTTTCCCCGCTCTTCCCGGAGGGAGATCGATCCCCGGGAGCGGCTGCGGGAGGATGCGGATCCCGCACCCGCCACTCACTGCTCGCCGCCGGGGCCCGCCGCTTCCCGGCGCCGCATCCCGAGCCAGGTGCGTTTTCCCGGTGGATTTTTCCGGCCCGGGATGTTCTTCCGGAGGGAAGGCGACAGGGAAAGAGCGAGGCGCGTCCCCCGCGGCGCAATCGCCGCTCCCCGCCAGCTCTCGGCGCCCCAAAGTTGCGCTGTCACCCCAAGGTCCCCACCCGTGCCCCCGCACTGCCCCCGCGGGGTTTTGGCACACGCGGGGACGCGAAGCCGTGACGCGAGAGCCAAAATCCCATCACATGCGCCAGCTCCCCCCTCCCGGGGTCCTGACAGCAAAAACCGGGAGATTCCGGGGGTCACCGAGCAGGTTTAGGACCCCGAATCCGCGCTGAGGATGCGCGGAGCCCCTCCACCCGCACCGGGCGCATCCCCGAGCGCTTCCCGCATCCCGGAGCATCCCGGAGCATCCCGATCCCGGTTTGTCCTTACCGGAGGAGCTGAGGTGGCCGCAGCCGGGCTCGGTGCGGGCTCGGTGCGCCGCACTGCGCGCTCCCGGGCGCGGCCGCGCCGCACTGCGCGCTCCCGAGCGGGCGGAGAGCGAGTGCGGCCCGGCGGCAGCAGGAGGAGGAGGAGGAGGAGGCAAAGGAGGGAGGAAGGCGCGGGCTGGAGGGGAGGGGGCAGAGCAGGGGGAGGAGTTCATTAGCGGCGCCCTTAATGAGCAGCCGCAGGCGCTCGGCGCGGGGCTGAGCCCTCCCAAGGCTGAAGGCGCAATCCGGGGACAAAAATGCGAATTTTGGGCAAGGAGAGGGCGAGTTTGGGTCACCCCGAAGAGCTGACCCCTCCCAGCGCCCCGCGCGCAATGCAGGGACAAAAATGAGAATTTTGGGCAAGAACTGGACGAGTTTGGGTCACCCCGAGGGTGCGGAGGGTCCCCGGGGTGCTCTGTGCCCGCTCCGAGGGCCAGGAGCGTCCCCCGGTGCTGCTGGAGAGGAGCGCGAGTGGCGCAGCTCGGCTGGCACCGACAGCGGCTGCTGGCACCGACAGCGGCTGCTGGCACCGGCGGCACTGCCGGTGGCACGGCTGGTGCTGGTGACATTGCCGGTACCGGTGGCACGGCTGGTTCTGGTGACATTGCCGGTACCGGTGGC